TATTCAGTGTATCATTTTACTCTTGTAAACTACCACTACCACATGAAAGATGGATCCATCATTTCATGCTTATGCCAAATATTTTGGCAGAAATCAAGACTCATCAGAGCAAGCAATGTTTTTCCAATCTTCTATTGTCTAATTTTTGTGATTCTTATTAAATTATAGTTTCAGTCTCTTGTTTTTATCTGATAGGACTTGCATTAGTCATAGTCTTCTGCTGTCGGGGTACATCTACTTCAAAGTTCAATGTGTTGTACATTCAGAGATGCTCTTCTCTATATTTTTGTTGTAAATGTAAAGTGATTATTTGTTCTACTGTTGTCTTTCTATGAACTTGAACCAGTTTGGCCATTCTCCTTTGATCTCTTTTGTCAGCAAGGGATTTCCATCCACAAAATTGTCATTCAAATGAAATTTTTTCTTTTTTCTACTATTCTCTGAAAACTCTAGAGATGGTTATGTGTGAAAATCCTAGTAGACCAGAATTTTTTGAAATATTCAGAACCACCTGTCTGGCACCAAGAACCATGCTGTGTGCCAAAGTTACTAAAATAGCTTTCTTTCCTATATTAATGCATGACTGAAATCCAGATCACTCATACCACATACAAAATGACTAGGGAATGCTTTGATCACAAAGTCATCCACAGTAAATTTGCACCCTGGCTCCTAATAATAATAGAAGATCTGCCAGGAATGGTGAAATACTATATTTCACCATTCCGGGCAGATCTTCTATTATCACAGTGTAGGATATCATAATAACAAAAGTGATGAAAAGAAAAAGAATCTAAATGAAATTAGCTAGATTTAAAAAAAAAAAAATTCCCAGCATCCTTCATTCGTGTGCATGTGTAGCTGCATCAACATAGAAAATTTTAGTCCAATAAATATATATATATATATAAGTATATTATTTTAGGATATTAAAACAAAAACATGTGGCAAAGTTTTGACAAATAACACCAGCCAGACATTAACTTAAAGACTGATACAAATGGCTACAATAAAGGTACACATGTTAGACGGTCAACTTTCATAAGGAATAAAAGCAGTGGGGTTGGTAGAGTGTTAATTTAACTGAATGCCCAACTAGTTATAAGCCTTGTGGATTGCCTACATAAATTTCTTTTTGTAGTTGATTAAATAAGAGGCCTCTTTAAGAAACTAGTAAATAATCAAATCATATAGAATTATTTGGTAAATAATAAGCAACCTTTAAATAAATATCATCAATATAAGATGTTAATAATATCAACCAATCAATGTAAAATGTTAAAAATACTAACTAAATACCAATACATCCATATAAGATGTTAATAATACTATCAGAAGATCAATACTAAATACTAAATTAAACACAAAATTAATCATACAAATAGAAAGATAAGCCATATATGGTGCAACACAGTTCAACTAAAATCTATGAAAAAACATTGTCAAATTTCAAAGTCTAACTGAATTGTAAGGTAAAAGGTCGACTGTATTTACAATTTACTGTTAATTCAGATCTTTGATTTAATAAAGAATTCTTATCAAAGAACCTGATAATTACCAATTTTTCATGTAAACACAAAAACAGGGTTCATATAAAGATCTGCATGTCTTTGCTATTTTTAAAATTTTCCATTTCACCATAGGAGTTTTATTATCATCTTTTAAACTCAAAAAATATTTAGAAAGTGATGTATTACTCCTAAAAGTATTATTGGTGAAGGACATATGTTGATACCACCTAGTCTTAAAAAAATTCTTAGTACTACCAATATAGAATTTTTCAGCCATCAGATTATCTATTGTAGAGATAGTACTTAGGTAAACAAGAGATTTAGTTAAACATTTGTTTAGCAATAGGCATTGGTCTGAATTCCTACAATTACATTGACTAGTATCATTAATAATATTTATCTTGGAGCTTTCATTATGATCCAAATTATTAAATTGCTTTAAAATTTTATTGTCATGTAACTTTATAATCTTAAGATTATTGGTGCAGGTATAACTTAGTTTTAATGTGTTTCTGGTAAATATTTTACTATGAGGGTTACTTTTAGGGAAATGTTTATCAATTAAATGAAGGAACTTCTGACCTAATTTAGTACTGACCAATTGGCTAAATGGGGGTGTATACCAAATGATCTTCCTATTTTTATTTCTTTTCTTGAGACCACTATCATCATATTTTCTATACTTGATTTTCAGCATACTTGTATACACAAAATATATATAATTATAATAATTAATATTACAAAATGATTTAAATCCAGACCTGGATGATTTAAACTATTTTATAACTCTGGTCTGAAATAAATTATTACCATACTCTTTAATGATATATTGAACTTTTCCTTTGATGTATATCATATTGCTCTGTATTTTGATACATTGATCTCTTTCCATGGATCTATTTTAATATTTTATATTAAAAAGACCTATTTGGATTATCTTTAACACTTATGGATTTGATATTATAAGATATATATATATATATATATATATATATATATATTAAAGAGAAGAGAGGTGCCGCAAACGTTTTTGGTTGTAGTGTGAATTTATTTAGAAAGAATATTATGCTTTGTTGAACATAATTTTACTACACGTGTTTCTGGTCTCGTGACCGTCTTCAGGTAAAAGCGGAGATTTCCACATATTATTAAAAATAATTAATTTTTTCTTTTGTTTTTCAATGTTAAATAGTCTCGATATGAGACATTTTCTGTGTTAGTAATCCGAATTTCTTTCTTGAATTGGCATTGAAGAGTTCTGCACGAAGGGTCATAAAACAATTCAGGTTGGTCCAAGTGAAATGATGAATTACCTATCGGCATTTTATCTTTTAATATTTTACTAACCCCTATGTGTTCTTGGATCTGTTTCCATTTTTGTGTGTTTCTGTCAGCATGCATGTATATATGTGTTGTGTATGATACACCTAATTTACATAAGCGGACTACCGACCATATAAATATGGGTTGGTACCGGAAGACGGGGAAGATAGTAGAGATTAAGAAATTGAATCCAGAGACTCTGCCCGACTGCGATTTAGTCAACCCATTATGCAGGAACAGTCTTCCCAAGAATATACCAAACTAACTGTAAATATTGTGTACCTATTCTTTGTTTCAATACATTTTGTTAACGTACATTTTGTGTTGTATTATTCCATGCTTATTTAAGCTTCAACAATATGCGTGCGTATATTCCCCCTCCATACATATACTGTCTTACTATGAGGAATTAGTAAACTCATTTGTACATATACACACACATACACACCATCCCACCACAAGGAATCAGTACATACACACACACACACGCACACACTTCGCAAGCTACATGGAACCAGTATACACATACATACACACACATACGTACCTACACACACACACGTACTTCCTAAATTTTGTGGGGTTTGGGTGCGTGCTCATGTTTTGTCAACATGCGTATATATATATATATATATAAATGCATGCATACATACATATATATACCCTTGTGTCTCCCATATATGAGCGTGCGTTCATGTATGTGAGTGATTTGATCATTGTATTTGGTCATTTGTCCATGCATGTTGTGTGTTGTAAATTAAAAATTTCTCTTCTTCTTTTTAATATACATACTTTTCTCTCGTTGGAACCACTACAACCTCTTTCTTTTATATATATATATATACTCTTTACAATTGGAATTATGTTACCTTTAGTAAATGACCATTTTCACCTATGAATTTTAATTTTAAAATTCGCAGGATTTTTTAAACTGTTTCTGGTATCAGCTAGTCTACTGTTTATCTGGAGAAAGAAAGAGAGTGTGTAATTGGATACCTATTGGGAGGTAAAGTGGGGAAGAAGAAGGCAACGTTACTGGAATCATATTATGGAGGTAGGAGAGCCCTTGTAGGGGAGGGAGGGGGAGACTGATGGACTGACCTATATCATAATGGTCACACGGTCAAAGTTTAATTTGCTGGGAATTCACGGAAATTAACAAAAACAGATGCATTCGTTTGTCCACATGATAAAAAACCTATTCGCATAGCTGATTGCCCCAACCCACACTTAGATATCTTCATTTAAGTACATACACTTTAAGTGACCCTTTAGACTCTACCTATGAAATTCTTGGATTAACTTATTTACCCTATTTTAAGTATTAGGAAGTCTTCTGATAGTAGTAGGAATTTGATTACCCAAGATTGGATATGCTGAATTGTATATAATGATTATATATAGGGTGACATATATACCTATATATGAGTTTATCTCCTCACGCATACCTACCCTAATACTTATATACCTATACCCTCTACTCATACATACATGTATACCCCAGCACTCATATATATCCAATTACACACCCTCTCTCTTTCACTCTCCAAATAAACAGTACACTACAAGCCAGAAACAGTTTGAAATTTGTGGGTGAAAATGGTCTCGTAATTCCAATTGTAAAGAAAATTTGCTCTGTTTATTGAAAATAAACATAGGGTGCTCTTTTGTGTGTCAGTTCAAATTCTATGTTGTGTTAATAGGACTCGACTGGATTATACTAACGGATTACTACCTCTCTCACTCACTGTATATATATATATATATATATATATATATATATATATATATATATTGCATTGTCTGGTTCAAGGCTATGAAACTTATAAAAATAAAATCATAAGCAAATGCATTGGTTATACAATAAGCCCTTTAAATACACATCTAACATTCATGTTTATATTCTGACACAATATATGTGGTAATACATACACACACACGATGTTAATTAAAATATATAATCACTTACATATTTATATTTCAACACTTTTAAATATTAAATCTCATGGAGATAATTACAACTAATATTTTTAAGAAATTGAAATTTTATTCTAATGAAACATGGGTTAGAAGAAATGGAATGGTTAGTTGAATTCTTTCCATTTTCTAAGTTTTCATATGCTTTGCATGTTGTACCTGTTTTCATTGTGTTATTCTTTCTTGCAGTCTCTATCACAACATTTGGCAAAATATAAAGCTAAATTTGATAGAATTCTTGCCTTCAAACCAACTGGTTGGACCCATTCTGACAAAAATAAGTTACTATCAGATATCAAGCCATCTTTAAAGAGAGAAAATATTATTTTATATGGTAAGTCTTCAGTTATATTTTTTATAGAAATGATTTTATTTTTACTGTTTTCAGTTTTTTTTTTTTATAATAAACTAGCTGATATATCCAGTAATTTCCAGGAAAGCAGATATTATCCCCAGTTCCTGTTCGCATATCCTTTCTTCAATTATCCAAAATTAACAATTCAATGTAAGTATCACTGAAAAGGGCTTTTGTATGTTCGTAGAGAATACTCAACCACCGCCCTTGGGATTTTTTGAGGAAATACCAATAAGTTATGAATACCAATGTAACACTGTAAGAATGCTAATAATTAGAAGAAAAAAAGGCTTAAATTAAATTGAAAGTGAACACAAATACGAAGAAGTTAGTAAATAGATTGAAGGACATACTGAAAAGAAAATATGATTTTATCTTGTTTTCTCATTTTGGGAGTAAAGAACCTCACTAGAAGATAGCACTGAAATCCACTTAGGCATATGTGGTTAAAATGAAGCCTAAGGAATGATGTGAAAGAAATGTAATGACATCTGCAATGCAACCAGGGCTGGCATGTTTTTGGACAGAGACCTCCAAGCTAGTTGCAGATAATAATTTTATGGATACAAGTAGGTGAAGAAAAGGGTAAAGAAATGATTCTATGTTACGTGGTGATCGGGGTGGAAGATGTGCGTGTTACTAAAGGAATAAGATTTCTTTAAATACAATACAGAATTCAAATGATGAAGAATTTGGTCAATTGGTAAGATAACAGTTTGGTTAAATCTGGAAGATATCAAAAAAACTTTTTATGACAAAGGACATTTCTGATAATGTGAGGTTGAGACAGATAATTTTAATTAACAAATGCGAACTAACTCAGTAAATAGGTGAACAAGAGAGAGTGGGAGAAAACTGACTACACCCATTGAGGGGTGTTGGTATAAGGAACAAATAAGAGGAGGAGGGAGTAAGTGGGGCAGGTTGATGCCCTGCTACCTTTACTCTCTGGAGGAAGGATTCCCCAAATTTGGACATGCAAATTGCCTCCCAGGGCACTGTAAGTAGAGAGTTATGATTGGATATTTCTGAAAGCCCAGATTGTGTTAGACCCCACACTGATGTTGGGCGAGAGTCCATAAAAGCGTTAGATCAGAGGGGAATTACAGAGTAGTAGTTGAGGCAGAAACATGCTTCCATTATGCCAAGAGATGATCACTTCACCAATCCCCATGTGATTTTCTGCCATGAAGAACTCCTGACTCATTCCTTGTTCCAGACTATTAGATGAATTGAGCAGTGCCCTGATGAAATTGCAAAGTGGATGAATTGAAAGTCTCTATGTGACGAGAGGGGGGGGGAGACAAATGCTTCATCAGCACCCCATAATTTGCTGCTTGTCTGACTTAAAGTTTGAAATCTTGACTCTGACTTGGAAATGAAGAACAAAGTGACACAAAATTAGACTATGAGTGAATGGTCATTAGCATGCTTTTAGATTTTATATAATAAAGTGTTCCTGTATAAACCTCAGTTATATATACCTTGTTGATCTACACAACTTTCTTTTTTTGTCTTATAACATCATCCCACCTGAACAATACCAATCCAGTAATATCTGGCAACAATTCAATCCTTGTCTACCTTGTGATCAAAACAAGCATGTAGGACAGGGGGAGGGTTGGATCAAAGTGACCAATTTTACAGTTAGCCACAAGATTCAATCCCGAACACACTGATGACTGAGGACAGGATGGTTTTGTCATCTAGTTCAGGGGTTAAGACACCCCACAGTGTTATATTAAAATCAGAAAGCAACTTACATAATAACAAATAAATCAATTATCTGAAAGTAACAGTTTAAAGTAGGTAGCCCTGAAAAGGGCTTTTTGCATTCACAGAGAGGAAGGCTAGTGTTAAAATAAATTTATAATTTGTCAGTTCCATTTGGGGCATCAAGGAATAATATATCTCCTCATTCACCTTCAATGCTCAAAATAATTGTTATAAACACCCGCTTGGTCTTCCATCAATTTGTGTTCATTATCAGCTATATACACTGTCATTCTCTCAGTGTCATAGCTGATCTTCCATGTGTACTCAGTTGCAAGATTGCTGCTTGCTCAGGTTGAGGTAGACCAAATGTGGCAATTCCTTGGCCTCCCATAGCTTGCAGTTTGGTGTCCAGGTAAACTAATGCCTCATTGTAGATGGTATCATTGAATGTGACAATTTCCATTGAAGTTTGTCTTTGAATCCTTCATAGGATGTTCTTCTGCCATGCTGGTTTTATGGGTTGCCCAAAGCTTGAAAGGATCACCCACACCACATGTCATCAACATGATGGAAAATAGCTAGCGTAGTTGACTTTGTGCTCGGCTGACTGCTGCCTCCCCAGTGTCCGGTCCTAGTGGGCATCTTCCTCCAATAGTTCATGTTTGGTGCTTCTCTGTAGCTCATACAGACTTCTCCATTATATCTTTGCTGGTCTGTGAATGATGTAGGACCTCTGGCAGTGTGCAGCAGCAGACATATAAAGAAGCACTCCTGCTGATTGGGGTGCACAATGTACACTTGTCTGATGCTCCTGCTTCTGAAGACAGCCTTTTCTTCCCAGCCCTCAATTTGTATACCTTACTTGTGCCTACTCCATCTATTGTATGCCCAGGTGTAGTAGAGAGGAACCTCAAAATACTGCAGTGTTTGGGCTAACAGGTCATTTGGCATAATTTGAAGAAAGCTGTCAAAGTGGTTTCTGTTGGATTCTCAACTATGTTCTGAGCAATATCTTCTGTGAAATATACATGCATGCTAATTTGGACTAAAATGGAAAGTGATAAATTTTCCTGTCCGAAAACAAAGAAAATCTTTGTTGTGGATTTAGAATTATCGAGGAACCCCAAACCATGACAGGCCCTCACCCGGTTTTGGTCGGCATCCATATAAGCAGAGTCGCAGTGAGTAATTTAGTCAGAGAGAAGTTAGTTGCAGTTGAAGAGACGCAGACAGAGTTGAGCTGTGAGCTCTGAGACCAACCTCGCAGGAAGCTGCCTGAAGATCCACGCATCCCGACTTCAACTTCTAACCAAAAACAATTTATTTTTGAAGAACAAGAAAAAAAAACAGTTTCTTAAAAAAAAACAACTTAAGATGTTAAAACTCGTCTAACAAACACAAAGTGTCACGAATCCATATTAGCGGTTTGGGAGAAAGATGCTGTCCTGTATTCAGCAACCAGATATAAAAATATTTGTTATTCTTTTTTTAACACATTTGAACATTTCAAGTTGTTACTTTATTTTCTTTTACATATACTTGTGTGGTGTTACTTTTGCTCAGACTCGGCTTGCATTGTGGCCCGGCGACTGATTGATTTCGTCTACCTAAGATCAAATCACAATGTGGGTGGTTAGACTAGAAATCAAAGCAGTTACTTTCGGTAACCAGACGTTGGAGGCGAGCTGGGAATGACAAAGCTGATACCGAATCTAACCAGATTCCCATCCGAATCAGCAAAGGGTTAGAACGTCACATTTGGTGCCGCGACCAATACCAAGTCACATTGGTTGTCACAGGATAGTATGGCGACGGCGTGGAGAGAGGCCGGGGTGACGTCACAATTTTTTACTGATATTAATGGGTAGGATCCTCCTTGTTTCACTCGATCATACAAATTTAAACCCTGTTAAGTTACAAGTTCAAAGGCAGACCATTCTAGGTGCTAATCTATTTTATTGTAATTAAATACTTTTTGTTTCTTCAAAAGCCCGCTATAAAAATCAGACCCCAAGGTATCTCTCATATACCAATAAAATATAAATTACCTAACTTTGCTATTTAGGCTTTTAACATCAACTTAGGTTAATTTTAGTTTCAAACTCACTTCAGTAACTCTTACATGATAAATTACAACAGAAATTCTCATTCCAACCAGCTACCAATTATAGATTTACATACTGGTAAAATCCATATCACTAACTGTTAGAAACATGAAAGATTTCAAGAACATCATTTCTAAAATGGGAAATGACAGGTACCATGATTAGGATCAAATTAACTGTGGACTTTATATCTTTAAAGTGTTTGTTATTGATTTTGCTTTTCAACACAACGTAGATTATCAAGCTCTTATAGTTAGGAATAAGTTAAAAGAAAATCTCCTGTAGTTAGGGATAGGTTGAAAAGAATGTCTCCTGAGAAGCAACAAACATAGCCACTTAACTGCAAGTATAGGTAATTTGGAGTGCAATAGATCAACATATTGCCAGTGTGATATTGCTGGATGGACAACAAATAGCTACAAATAAAGGAATATGTGAGGAGTTTTTATGGGTTGGAGTTGCTAGCCCTATTCCCATCCAGCTTTAAATTCAGAGTTGTCCTTCTAAACTGGTTGTCAATCAAGGCCGAAGAGCCCTGTTTGCTCTACTATTTAACTCATATCTGGGAAGAGAAGAGATGGATTTGTGACACAATGCTTGGGGCACTTACATAGATGGGGATTTTATCTTGGTTTCAATATTTTGAGTTTCATGACCAGTGATGGGTCTGTGAATTTGGGTCTTTGGGATGGCCACCCACTTGACCAAAAAGAATAATATAATAGATAATTAAATAAAAACTGTTGAGAACAAGTGACAACAAAACTCGTCATTGAGAATTTCCAATCACAGGCTTTTATTAACATATATTCATATCTCTATCTATAAAGGCAGGATGTGTGTGTGTGTGTGTAACAAATGCACAGCCGCAATTTTCGACAGATTTGCACCATAATTTACATGCACATGCTCCAAGTTAGCAGGAAGGCCAAGACCAACTTTGCATTTCCCAACTCTAACTGATAGTGAAAATAATCGATTTTTTCATGCTTCTACGGCAATTTTCATGTAGTTTGCGGCCATTTTGTACTGGCCAGAGTGAGAGCCTATAGCTGGCTGCCATGAATAGGTAGGAAGATTCTATTGGCCAACGTGAGAGCCAACAACTGACTGACACGAATGTTAACTAGCATGCAAAAAAAATCAATAGCTGCATTCATCACAAGTGGGAAAAATTAAATCTGCATGGCACTTTACTCCAATTGGCTCATTCACTTGCTTAAACTCAACGTTGATTCTGATTCCGCAGAACTGGGTTGGGTGTGAAAAAGTATTTGTTGTTAACATTCTTTTTTCATTCGGTTTTTCCAGTTACGAGTCCTTTTTTAAAGCCGATCGTTTTGTGTTCATTTTGTTTAGTTCTTTTTTCGTAACAGATTTAATGTTTAGTATAAAGCTTAGAAAAAATTTGCAGTGTGAGAGCAACATCAGCATGGCAAAGGGCACTCCTTTAATGGCAAGGAAGGGCAAAAATATTTTAAGTCAACTGATAATAATTATTGTATGAGTCGTACGATTTTTGAATCAAGCACGGGCAACGCCGGGACATGCTGCTAGTTCTGCATATGTCAGACAACACTTGTGTTTAATGTTTTAAAGTGGCATTTTTGACTGAAGTTTTGGAGATTTGTTTAATAGTCCTGTTATACAACCAGTTTTGTATGCTTCAAATATAGATTTTAATTGCTTATGCTCATTTGTTTTTCAGGTCTTCCCTATAGTGAACATAGCAGTTATACAGAAATGAAAAGATTTGTCCAGTTTACTCAACCAGAGATAATTATTCCGACCGTTAATAATGGGTCTCCTTCTGCTCGAAAAGCAATGAAAGACATTTTCAAATCATGGCTATCAGAAAAATCAATTGCTATTAATGAATTGTTTTCACTTTCAAAGTGAAATTAATTTTGCTATCATTTTAGCAGCATTACAAAGATATATCCTTTTTCACTAATACTGACTTGAAGAGCCAGTCTTATTTAACATCAAAGTATTGAAATAAAAATTTATACAAATTTTCTTTACAAAATTATTTTGAAATTGATTATTCTTTCAGCAAATTTGGTTTACTGTCTCTGAATAAATCAATTTTCAGAATGCCTTACCTGAGGCTACATTTATATGTGAAATATTCATTATTTGAGACTCAGTATAAAAGATTCTTTTAATTAAAAATAATATTTATCAACTGTTATACAATCTCATAAAATTATACTAATCTGTTTTTTAATAAAATTCATTTTAACTTTCTGTTGTTGATTTTTATTGAACTTTTGTCCGGAATATCTTGATTACATTATATATTCTAATAAGACAAAGTGGAATATCTTTTTATTGACAACGTGTTTTGACTTTGTTAGGTAGTATTAAAAAAAAACCCAAAAAACTCAGATTGGTATTTCTTTTTGACCTGAAGATGCTTACTTAACTATCTAATCAAAGTGAAATGCATTGTCAGTAAATATGTTTACCATTTCATCTGATTTCTCCACTTTTGTTTGGATTCTATATACTAATAACATGCATATTCTAATAAATAATAATCAAATATTCTAATATATAAAATATTGCGTCATGTCGTCAAAGTACTAACTGTGTTTATGCAAAGCTTTAGTATTTAAATTTCTTGTTTACTCTGAACCTGTTCCACTTGACTGATATGAATTAATATATAATATATTTTCATTGTTTGTCAGATCTGATCAGGTTGAATGTCTTTTGTTATTAAAAGGTATTTGAAAAGTCAATTTGAATACAAATATTTATAAAACTTAGTTTGGTACGTACACCTCCCCATTCTCTTCGACAAGAGTAGAGGCTCACACCTTGTTTCTTGTTTCGGAAGGGGTTCCTGGAACACTCTCTCTCTCTCTCTCTGGCCTCTGTACTAGTGTTGCTGTGTTTCTCCCATGATGTGTGTAGTCTGTGGCATTACCTTTTCATTCTGAGGGTACACGGTTGATAGTTTCCTGGTTGCTGTTTCTGACTGGTAGTTAGGAGCCCTAACTCTTGCGTAGCGTCTTGAGTGTCCGCTCTGATCAACAATTGTATAATACCAGGGTGTCTGTAGTGCCATGTTGCGCATGGAAAGGTGTCCCTGCAGTCACCTCTGGTGGACAACCCTGAGGCCAAATTATGATGCAGGCTGTGCCAACTTCTCTCTGCCCACGTCACAGTCGATAACTGTCTGCTTCTTTTACTACAGGCTTTCTCATCTTCCAACCATAATTCCACATGATGACTAACAAAGATTGAAAAAATAAACCTAAACAAGCATTCAAAAATCACCTAAACCCTTCATTTCATTTTCTAACATCCGTGGCATTAGAACCAATTTTTTATCGATAGCATTTCTGACAGCATAGACAAGGCCCTCTCTCTCCATCCGTTTGCTCACATATTAGTGTTCGTCGATTTTAACGCCCATCATACCAAGTGGCTTAAGAATGCCACTACTGACCTTGCAGGCATTCAAACACTTAATTTTTCAGTTTCTCAATCCCTCACGCAGATAGTTGACTTCCCCACGCGTTTTGCCTACAACCTCGATCTATGTTTTACCTCCATCCCCGAGTCTTTCAGCTCTACCCTCTTGATAACTCCGATCATACTGTAGTGTTTGTCAGCATCTCCTTCAACTCTACCCCCTGCAAATAACCTCCTACCACTAGAACCTCGTTCTGCTATCAACGTGCTAACTAGAACTCGTTCCGTGATTTCCACCGCGATGTCCCCTGAGATGTCTTTACGCTCCCCGTTGAAGAATGTGCTACCAAGGTCTCCTTCTGGGTTAAAGCTGGAATCGACGCTTTCATCCCCTCAAGGAAATATAAGGTCAAATCGCGCTCCTCCCCATGATTCTCCGCTGCTTGTTCAGCCGCCATTGTCCATAGGAACCACTTCTTCCACCTATATTGTAGTGACATGTCCTACTGCAATAGACGTCTCTTTGCCTCTGCCCGTAACGAGTGTAAGCGTGTCCTCAACGAAGCTAAGTCACTATTTGCTGCTCGAATGAAGGAACGTATTGCATCTCTCAAATTCGGCTCCAAGGATTATTGGCGTCTCTGCAAGAGCGTATTCAACAATAGCAAACCCTCTATACCTCCTTTGTTTAACCAGTTGAGGTCCTGACCTCCTCTACCGACAAGGCTGAATGCTTTGCTCGGAAATTTTCATTCAATTCAACGCTCGACTCTTCCGGTGTACCCATATCCGATCTCCCTTTTAGAACTGAGGCCCTATAGAGCGGGTTGCAAATAACCCTGTCATTAGTATTGGGCATTATCTCTAATTTAGACCCCCACAAGGCTAGTGGTGGAGACGGAATACCAGCCATTGTCTGGAAGAAATGTGCACCTGAACTGGCGCCCGCCCTCTACACATTGTATTACTGCCTCAAGGAATCTTGTTTTCCAGACTGCTGGAAGTCATCATCGATTGTTCCTGTCTTTAAGAACTCTGACGACCCCTCTGACCCTTCTAATTACCGTCCTATCAGTCTCCTTCCCCTCTTCGGCAAAGTCTTCGAAGCTTTAATCAACACCGAAGTGGTTAACTACCTTACATCCCATGATCTGCTCTCAGACAAGCAATATGGTTTCCGCTTTGCCCGATCTACAACTGATGTGCTTACGGCCATCACTGAAATTGTCTACCAAGCTATTCAAAATAACGGAGAAGCTCGTGCCGTGGCTCTAGACATCTCCAAAGCGTTTGATAGGGTTTGGCATGCCGACCTTCTTCACAAGCTCCAGGGTTATGGTATTACAGGTCGATTGTTTGATTTAATACAATCATTTCTGTCAAACCGTCAATTGACGGTCGTTCTCAATGGATTCTCCTCCAGATCCTATCTCAGGAACGCAGGTGTTCCCCAAGGCTCCATTTTAGGTCCTACTCTGTTCATCATCTTCATCAAGGATCTTCCTGACGTCATAGGTTCCCAAGTAGGCATTTACGCGGACGACACTACAATTTACTCCTGCCTCAAAAACAAATCTAGTGTCGCTGACAAAACTAACCTGGCCGTTCGTCTCGAAAAGGACCTCCAATCGGTTGTGAACTAGGGCAGGAATTGGCTGGTTAACTTTAACGCCTCAAAAACAAAACTGCTCTCTATTAATCACCACAGAGATCCTTCCCTGCACCCCCATTAGAATGTCTGACGCTCAACTTCTCGAGAGCACCTTTCTGCGGCTGTTCGGTCTCACATTGTCTGCTGACCTAAGATGGAACAAATACATTGAGTCAATAGCTTCCTCCACCGCAAGGAAAGTTGGCTCCTTGTGCCGCGCCAGGAAATTTTTCTCCCCGGAATCGATCCTTCAAATCTACAAATCAACCATTCGCCCTTGCATGGAGTATTACTGCCATATATGGTCTGGAGCCCCTTCTGTTTGCCCTGGGGTTCTTGATAAGATCCAGAGACGGATATGCAATGTAATTGGCCCTGATCTGGCATCTCGTCTGCAGTCACTCTCTTAAAGACGTGCTGTCGCCTCCCTCTGTCTTTTTTACAAATACTTTAATGGTAATTGCTCCGATGAGCTGCTTTCGCTGGTACCCAGGCTTCATGGATTCAAGCGTCCTATGAGGCTGGCATCCCGCTCTCACCCTTTCACTGTTGAAACTGTTAAATGTAGCCATCTCTTCTACTCCAATAGCTTCACATCTCGCACCTCTCGCCTGTGGAACTCCCTTCCCTTTTCCTGTTTCCCTGATAGCTGTAATCTCCAACTATTCAAATATAATGGCAATAGACATCTCCAGTTGCCTTGATCTATCAACTATCCTTCTCTTCATGCTTTCCTCTATCATTCCTATCTGCTCTCGCCCAAATCCTATGTAACCTCTTGAGTGCTAGTGGCTTCCATCTTTGCTTGGAGTGAAAAACTTAAAAAAAAAACAAAAAAAAACCAGTTGGGTTGAACTCCCTCAGTGAACAATGGTCTATGAAACAAACTTGCCAAACATCACTAAATTGCTGGCATTCAAACATATTCAAGCATATTTTCTATTTATGCTACATAGGAATTAAGAACTTCAGACATGGAATAGTCATGAAAATGGTGCCTGCTGTTAATTAACAAGTTAGTCTTAAAAGCCATTGTTGTGTGTCTATGAAAAGGGATAGGTAAGGAAACATTCACTTAGCCATGTATGTGAATAATCATTTCAATACAACTGTGATAGGTTTAGATGAGTGAAAATTTGGTCTTGTAACAAGAAGAAAACAAAGTGTAAATCCAAAATTTTTATATTTCAGAAATTGTTGAGGTGTTTTACAATTATTTTTTGTCCACTTTTTTCTTATGAAGACAGTTTTCCTATGACAAAAAACAGAGAAACATTTGTTAATGACTGAACTCAGACTTACTAATTGACACATTGTCCTTTCTATTCCTAAAGTAAGTTTATACATTCATTTAATATCAGCAATTTATTTACTTCTGTTCTTCTGAAGTAAGCTGTGTATATATATGCTTTGTATTGTAGCTGTCTCTCTACAGCCACCTATTTTGAAAATTGTTTTCGTTAAGATAATTAAGTTTGCTACCATGTGCGTGGATTTTAGCTTCAACGATATAATGTTTAGACAAATTGACTTTATGGCTATGGTTAACCCTTTGGGGTCAATTATAGCAAATATTTTTTATGGGGTTTTATGAGCAAAAATTATATTCTATGCCCTACCAACCCAGCTGTTATTTACGATAAGTAGAGGACACTTTTTGTGTGTTCAACGATGAGTTGGGAAGCAGAAGTTTTTATATTTTTATTGAACAGTTTGCAGCAGTTTACTATTCAACAGAGTTTATTACATCGGTGTACCGTAAGCCCACATTTACAGCTTTATATAATCGATGGGAGTCCTTTTGTCTTAGAAGGTATAAGAT